TGTTGAGAATATGTGATTGTTAGAGTGTTATTATTGAGATATGTGCTTGTAAACTGTAAATTGTTAGGTTGGACTGGTTTATTGCAGGTTGTAGTTGTGGAGGTTCGGTTGGTGTGTAAGGAGTACCCGTATTCTATCCCCTTAGCTTGTGTTTAGAGATTTACTTGCTGAGTACCGTGTGATTTGGTACTCACCCCTTGCTACTACATTTTTTGTAGGTTACTAGCCCAGACCTTTGTGATATTTTTCTCTTCTCCTTGTCTGAGGCTTCTTGTGGAGGTTTGTGAGGTAGCTGCTTGTCATTTCAGCGGACCTTCTTTCTCCTTATTTATGATCTTGTTCTATTCTAGAAACAATGTCATTTGAGACTTGTATTTTTTTTTCAATTTTGTTATAACACATTAGAGACTTGTACACGTGACAACCAGATTTTGGGGGTATTTTTGAGTTTATTATAAAATTTCCGCATTTATTTGTAATGGTTGAGTTTTAGGTTGACTTGTCTTGGTGGGATAAGACGAGTGCCATCACGTCTATTTTTGGGTCGTGACAAAAATATTGTAATGTATAGTGAGGTAAGTGTAGTGAAAGAGAGAGTTGAGACAAAGAAAATAGTCTAAGTCTTCAACTATATTCACTATACAAAAGAGAATATTTGTATGTTGAAGGAAACATTCTTATGTAGAGCTTTGGACTCTTCAACTAATCCGGAGTTGTTTGAGGTGTACGACGTTGTTGGGCTGTTGTATCCTAAAAGGGACAAGTCAAGAGTATTACTGTCGGATCGGTGTAGATTATGCCGCAGTGGGCTTGAATCTCCTTAAAGAGAGCGAGATATCCACGCCTCAGCCTAAAGATTTGTTTACTCATTTTTGTCATTTTATTCTCAACTGTAATATTTTTTGTATTTGTAATATATTACACCAATAATATTTATAATTTTAAACAAAATTAGAACAAAAATAATCCTATCTAATCTGTTTATAATCTAAAGTAGATTAATTTGTATTTAGATTTATTGATTCTATTAAAAGATATTTTAAACAATAAACTTATTTGTAATGTTACTAAAGAGGAGCGAAGGGAAGAGAGCTGGTGAATAAATGTAAAAAGTAGGAAAATAGATCTACTATCTAAATGTCAAAAAATATAGGAGAAAAGTATTGAAAACATCCATAAAATAAGTGTGAATTATTAATTTCATTCTCAAATTATTGAGAGCTTTTAAAACACTCTTTTAATTGACTAACTAAATTTAAATATACCTCCAATCTTACCACATGAGTAAAATAAACTCCTAAATTCTCGTCAAATTTAAAAATATTTAACATTTCCCAGCTTTTTATTAAGAGTAACATGTCATACAAAAATTTGAGACCACCTACCATGTCTTGTGACAAATCAAGGATGATCGAATATTTATCTAAATTTAGTTAGTCAACTACAGGAATATTTTTAAAATTATCGATAGTTCGAAGATGAAACTAATAATTTACGTCAAATTAAAAAAAAATTAACACTTGTCTCATAAATAAAAAAGCCTCGTACCATTATTATTATTTGGGAGATTAATGACATTATTCTGAAGGTGATTAAAATCAGATTCAAAAGAGATTTTGGAAGAAACAATTGGCCAGATATAATTATTGAGTTAAAGGCACAATAATTCCTATAACATTAATATTGTGAGATGGATTCCTCCCCTATTAATTGGGTTAAATGTAATACTGATGGAGCATCTAGGGGTAATCCAGGACCTAGTTCTGCAGCCTTTTGTATTAGGGATCACTCTGGTTCATTAGTTGTGGTGAAGGGTTTCAAAATACATAATACCTCTAATCTAGTAGCTGAAGCAAGGGCTATTAGAGAAGGGTTGTTTTTTTGTAAGGAGCATCTGTTATCACATGTCATTATTGAAACAGATTCTATCGCCATGGTACAAATTTTGGAAGGAGGGTGGAATGTCCCTTGGAGTGTGACTTTGGAGGTCAATTCCATAAACTACTTGGGAAGATCCTTATCGGCGCGTATACAACACACCTTTTGAGAAGGAAATACTCTTGCGGATTATTTTGCTAACCTAGTTTTTAATTTTGCAGGTGATTATCACTTTAGCCATTTTCAAGACATTCCTATGGAGGGACGAAGAATCCTAAACTTGGATAAAAGCGGAACTCCTCACATAAGAAGAAGACAAATGAATTGAATCTATACAACTTTTATTGGTAGGTTCAATAAAATATAATTCACTGCACGAAGGTTCAACATAAGGTCTATCAATCTCATTTCAAGTTAGAAAAGCAGGATCAGAATTAGACAAGTAGGGAAGTCTAGCGTATCAATCATATTTTGCCAATGTAGTTCGAGTAATAATGAGAACAATGTATTCGAACAAGAGAATAGTTACCATTATGCTTATGATGTCTGAAATATGTTCGATTGATAATTAAGTATATCATGCACCTGGTGAGAGCTTGAGGTGTTGAAATGGTATGCTGCCAAGATACATGAGTTACTGGTAAAGGCGAGAATTAAAAACTTAATTTGTTCTAAAGATGAGAGGAATACCTTGATGATTACAGTGGTTTCATTTGAAGTTGCTAATCGAGCTTTACATCTCCAAGCTAAGCTGATGAGAAACCAGAAGTTAAGGGGACTTATGTGGCTTAGTCATTATCAAGATTAAGATCTGGTAGATGCGGCAAAGTGAAGGAGATGATGGCATAGAAGAATTACCTGGTAGGTGTGGCGAGGTGCAGGAGATACAACAGACGAGAGTTGCTGAACGATTCCTACGGCTCAGAAATTTGTTCCTGGTGTTTTTTTCTTCTCTTGTTTGAGGGGGGAAAACACACACTCCCAATAGAAGAAGGATCAGAAATTGGGGTCTCTCCAGTGATGGTTCTCCAGCTACCTTGAGCTTTGATAGACACATCAATGACTGATCGGACGTATTGAGATGGTGTTCGTGAAATTCTACTTTTCAGCTGCAATTTGTGTCTTTTCAGCTGACCTTCCATTTTGTTTTTATTAGTACCAAGTTTTGAGCTTATGGACCGGGTTATTTTTGGATCCATTCATGTATATACTTTCCCTTATTTATTAATATAATAAAATGGGCCAGGAGCCCTCCTTTATTAAAAAAAATTTGTTGTGCCTCTTATGTGATGAATTTTTTTCATTATAGGTATGTGTGTCGAAATTGTTGAACTATTACCTCTTAACAGGTTCACATACATACACCTAAAAACATCATTTCACAATATTATTTATTGACATAAATAAATAAAGGAAGAAAAACTGAAAAGTGTGTAATTAAGTTTATGAACCAACATGTGTATTATGAGTTCCAGTTGCCTTTCCAATAGGGTGTGAAGGCACCACACCTTCTACCACACTTCCTCCTGTTGGTTGTCCACTACCATGCCCTGGCAATGCTGACATTTGATGTGCACCACTTGGTTGTCCAGTAGCTCCACTCGTTGAGTAGGAATGTGTCTTGCCCTCTGCTGCCTTTATTCTTTCTTCTTTTTTTTCTGTTGCCATCTCTTTCTCACTTGGGTTCTTTGCTGTCATCTAATTCCATCATGCATTACAAAAATATAAATAAAATTTATCATCCTTTCATTTCATTTGGTTGGAAATGAATTATTCCTGACCAACTTATCTCACTACATAAATAATGGAATAGGTTATGTCAAACATCATGATAACCAAACAAAACACTAAAATTTCGTCTCAAAACTATTTTTTTTGTTCCCAAAACTATTAATTCTTAATGTCTTATACCTCACACTAAATAACCTTCAAAGTATAAAAATAAAAAGTAACTTTTAGTTTTCGTCATAAATATTGTTTTGGGATTGTGTCCTACCCTAATATACTTAATATGAACGGGGAGAAACTAGTGGGAGTAAATTCCCTCTGTGGCATTTTATATAAATTAATTTGACATTATATAAATTAATATAAATTGACACAAAATTTAACAGAGAAATATTTTTAAAATTTATCGTCTAAAATAAATGACAATTTTTATATAGCTATAAATCATTTTATTAAGAATAAAATAAATATTTCTAAACGTAAGAAATAATTTTTTTTGAAATTTATAGTCTAAAATAAATGTAATTTTATATGGCTATAAATCATTTTATTAAAGATTAAAATAAATATTTGAAACTAAAAAGAAGAATGAAGCATATAAATTAGGGCGGATATCATATTTCTCCATTACTTTCGGAGTTCAATATTAATTGTCCACTAATAACTATACTAAAATTAAAAATTAGTAAATGATAGGATAAATTACTCTACATAAAATGATATATTTATTATTTTATAAAATAAACAACACTATAATTATTCACTAATAACTTGACACAAGAATTGAAAATTAGTAAATGATAGGATAAATTATTCTTATTAAAATAATATATATA